TATTGGCGAACTGGTGCGGCGTAGTGCGGAGGAGCTCCGTCTTGTTGGAAATGCAATTGTTGTTCAAGTAGTAGAGGATCGTTTTCTAATTGTTCAGTTGTTGCCGGATCAATCGAATTTTCTAGAATTCCAAGAAAACGTTCGCCAATTAAAATACCAGGAATAAACAGAAGTCCAATTAGGTGGTCTTCCAAAATTCCTACCAAAATGTTTAGCTTTTCTTGATGTTGAGTGTGAGCGTCTCGAAATACATGAGGAATTGTCTCGCTCCAAATTCTACAGTTATGCCGGTTAACCTCTCCATTAAGTAAAAAACGGCATTCGTCAGAAAAGCAAACGGTGTACAAGAAATTTGGGATATTGTTGATACGCTCGGCCATAATTTCGCAAAACTCTTGCCTTCGATCCCAATCATCATCATTCAATTCATGAATTAATTTAATTTTGTACGGATAGAACTTGTGTCTACGTAAAGTTCTGAAAACGTTAGATTGACTAATACCGGAAACTGCAGAAAGTTGTCGTACAGATTGCGTGTTTGGCATAAGTTAGACATGTCCCAATACCACCATAGCTGCTCCTTCATCATTCACAATTCCAATGGGTGTCCTTTTTTATCCATTACTGAACCCGCCTCCACAAATTTTGGAATCAATTCCATTACGTACTTATGGCGAAAGCTACGTTCAGGATGGTTTTGGTTAAATATCCTTGCAGCCGCTCGGGCACAATTTTGTTTTTGGTAATAAAGGCTAACCAGCTCAACACGTTCTTGCAATGTGTACACCATTTTTTTTTGAAATTTTAAACAAATCAGCAAAGTAGTAACTCAACAGATTGATTTCAATTCTGAAATGATGGAAGAAACGTTACAACCAGATAATCATCTTCTAAGAACAAAAAAATTTAGGCAAGATAAGGAAATGTTTTGCTGTTTTTTTATTTATTAGTTTGAGAGAAAGTATTATTGTATGAAAGTTAATGGAGGACAATTTGAACATCGGAGTTAAACACGCAGATTTGATTTTTTTGATATTAAGCATGATGAATAACACAATTAAATTTTTCAAGAATGTAATTTTTTGACGATTTCTTGAGTTTGTAAAAAAAGCTTACTGAAAATGAGCTTGTACATTGTAAAAATAACCAATTTATTCAAGGTGGCTCATTCGAGCTGCAAAATAGATTTTTGGCGAAAACGGTTCATCAAATTTACGTTTTTCATGCATCGTTGTGAAGACCTTTCAAATAAAGTATCACTCAACCCCTCTCCCCTATTCAAGTTTGAAGAGCCCCCTATTAGGGGGTTGCTCGTTCAAACCTAAAATATACGTCAAAAGATGTCCCCCAAACAAAACCATCCAACGTGTTTCGGGAAATTTCTCCACTCACTATGGGATAAGAAATATACGGGGTGGCTCGTCTGAAATGGAACACCCCGTATTTTCCTAATGTGCAGGATTCATCAAAACTGTTTTGTTAGAACTCGAGCTTTGAATATGTTGTTTCACAGCTGATTAACGGAAAAACAGATTTTTTTTAACAAGAAAATTATATCAGAGGGAGTGTCATGATTTAAGTTTTTCTCAGGTGGGAATTTTAATCATCAATTTAGTGATTTCGCATTCTTCTCAAGTCAGGCATTGAAAAATGAAAACGAATGATTTTTCTTCAACCCTAAATAATTTCCAAATTCTGCTACCAATAATAATTTCATAGAAATTAATTTCGATTTTCCAGACAGTATATGCAATTTTGGGCTTATTTTTTCAATCAATGTTTTTGAAAAATATTTTCTGTTTCCATTTTCTATTTCCAGATGTGAATGATCAACCACGAAGGGTACAAGATTGAACCGACATAAGATTTTCAGATTTATTTGCGTTATAATGATTCTGGAACTGAAATTGTGATTCTGGAACTAAAAATACATTCCTCTGAAAGTATTCTCACAAATAGGTACAACTGTTGAAGAGGCCTTGACTTGCCAAAGACTTTGGAGGGGATGAAACAGTTGAATTCAAATTTGTTTCAAAATGAGCCTAAATGAAACTTGCACTTTGATGGATTTTGTGAAATATCAAATAAATGAAAGAAATAGTACAATATATCAACTTCGAAATGGAAATGAATTGAAGGACCCGACTGTGGGAAAAACACTTTTCTACTTTATCATTGATAAAAAAGATTTGAATACAACCCAATAAACTAGGATATAAAATGGTGATATTCGCTCCTATTCCTCTCATGTATCTCTGTCATCCGTTAGAACATATTTTTGGAGTTATCAGTTCTGATGCATTTCATGATAAGAAACGTTCTGGAATATATTTTTTTTCTTGTACCACTTATCCATTTCATATACAATCCTAGTGAATTCCGACGTATGGATAAAACAGTATAGTTTTTTTTAGATAAACAAGAAGTCTAAGTCTATCATAAACAATAAGTTTCATTAAGTTATTATGAAATACATAGATAGTGTCTGATTGGTACCTCAAATATACAGTGCATTCCATTTGAAACGAGCCACCCTGAAAAACTTTTGGTACTATGATTTGCAGGAAAAATAAAAAAACACGTCAACCATAGTATACAGGGGAACACATTTTAACATATTCATATTTCATGTTACTTCCCTTATCGCACCCCCAGAGAATATCACCATTTTTTTAAAAGGATCAATTGTTTTGCCTTATCAGGTGTTCCATGATGAACAGATTTCAACAAAGTAGAATATATTATGGCCTGAAGCTCATAGTTTGAAAGCTAAAAATTATTTGAGTTGAAAACGAGCCACGCTGAATGAACTTCTGTACAATCTGTTACCTAGGTTTCATAGGTGTTTTTGTGAAATATCCTTCAAAAAAATTTTATTTTGTCTAGTTAAGTTCGAATTCGATATTCTCTTCATTTTGGATTTCTCATTCCACAATAACGATTACGTACCGTGAATCAATTCGGCAATTGGGGAGGATACAAATTTATTCGAAAACGAAATAGTTTTTCAGAAGAATGGTCACCTCCTCATTATGCAGCTCCAGTGCGACAATTTTTGGATGATCATTTTCCTGGTCGCCGGATTGGCTCCCTACAGAATGGCCACCAAGGTCTCCGAATCTCACTCCTGTAGATTTATTTCTATGAGGTAATTTGATATCTGGAGTGTATGAAATAGAATCAACAATATTAGAAGATTTTAAAGAGACTTTCATGAGGCATTGCAGAGAAATAACTCCCGAGATTCTCAACCATGTAAGGATGGCAAGGGAAGCTCGTTTGTACCATTGTATGGAAGTTGGTAATAATATTGTTGATAATTTTTGACCTATTTTTACTTTTCCTGCAAATCATTGTTTCAAAAGTTGTTCAGAACATATTTTTTATCCTTTGTTGAAATCTGCTCATTAATGGAGCATCTGATAATGCGAAACAATATAGGGTGATCCATTTAAAAAAGTTGGTGACATACTTTGGGGGTGCCATAGGGGAAGTAACATCAAATGTTAATATGTCAAAATGTGTTTCCCTATATACTATTGTTGACGTGTTTTTTTATTTTTCCAGAAAATCATTCTACCAAAAGTTATTCGGGGTATCTCGTTTTGAATGTGTATTATATCTTATGATATCTAATATATTAAAATGGATGTTTGTTGGTTGGTTGGTTGGTTGGTAAGTGATAAACTTCTACATCACTCAACCGATCATGATGAAACTTGACATGTATAAGTAATTTTTCATAGAGAAGGTTTTTAGGCTATCAATGTTTCTGTAACTCGCCACTAGATGCCGCTGAAGAATAATTTTTTGAGAGTACTGTTCTATAACGCTGCGCACGCCTAAGTTCGTTGATTCTGATTCTGTCAAAACATTGGAACAGCAGCGATACAGCAACATAGTACTAATTGGTACTACAACTACCAAATTCTACGCGGGCGAACAACTAGTACTATATATTTACGAGCTCTGATTGTTTTAGTTAAGCTAACAGCTAGAAAAGAGAAATTGGAGACGTCCGTTTTCATTTTTCAAGATAGTCATAGTCCCCATTCGGGAACTATATTAGCTTCAGTCAATGTTGAACCACAAATCATACAATCTTATCGTTATGATGACCTTATTGTAAATATTTGATTGTCAAAGATATTGTCTTCTTTTTTATTGTCAAACTTTTCGATATTGAAGGTTCGATTGAGAACATGTACCGGGTAATTTTCTGCAGAATGTACTACGAAAAACATTTTTCAAAATTCAAGAATACCACACATGCACCATTATTTTTAAAAATAAATCGATGATAATAAGAAATAAAACTTTCAATGTTTTTATACCACTAGAACATACGAAGTTTCATTTCTCATTTTTCATGATGATATCCTACCACGTTACTACGTGGCTACATCCATCAATTTATTCATATAGAATGGCATTGAGGAACTGTTAAAGTATTTTATTCGCATTTCTATTTATCGTTAAGAATAAAGGTGAATATTTAAAAAAAATATAGAAAGAGGAGATTATCAGGATGATAACAAGAGTAGAAAAATATATATTGAAATATACTGAATTTGTTGAATCATCTTATCGTTCAATTGTCAATTTGTTTATAAATACTGTAGAGAAAAATGCTTGATTGAATAATTCACGAATTTTTAATAAATCGTGATATCAAGATGAATGAAGGAACAATGGATAAGGAATAAATCAAGCTTTCATAAAGAGTGTCTCCAACCTAGATCACAGAAATCTAAATTTGGTTTTCTTTGTTTACTATGTTTTTCTGGAGATCTGTTTGATGTGAATTCATGTGAAACGAAGTTCCTTCATTATACCAAAAACGGTATTAAAGTCCGGCTAAAAATAAAAAATATTCTAGATCAAAATTTGTTCGGATTTCAAGATACCCGTTTTTGATGCACCTGAGTAAATGAGTATATCATCGAACTGAAGAGCTGATTTTTGAAACCAAGTGGGAATATCCCTCCATGAAAACAAACCTTTGACTCGGACTTTTACAGTCGGACTCATTCGCATTCGAGCTGTCGTCCTCTTCTCGGCTGGTGTTTTGTGACTTCGGTGATTGAAGCGGCGTATTGGCGTCATCGGAGCTGCCTTCGTCAGCTGCTGTATTCGTCACCATCAAATGACTCCCGCTGCCACCTCCAACGGCATTGTTTCCATGTTGACCTCCGCCTCTTCCCGCCGTCACACTTCCGCCACTGGAAGGTGGATCAATCTAGAACAAAATTGAACTTGTTTGAATTTATTACACAATAAAAATACTGAAAGTGAAGATTCGACAAAAACATGCGTGTCTAACTTTTTTGTTAAGCCGGGTGGTGGGTAATATGGAATGGGTTTTTGCAAACTTTTATCTCCCATTGTGAATAATACAAGGAATTTAAAATGAAAAATCTGAGTTTTTCACTTGTTGAATGCTGTGTTACAGAAAAGTTGGAGGTTTTTGGCTTCTTCACAGATACTGCTAGATAATTATACTATTTACAAGTTTCATGACACAGTTTGTGGAACTTTAGCCTTCAAATGGCGACTTCTTCACACTGAACAACAAAATCAAAACACAATAGAAAACAGAAAAATGGAAAGTAATTTGAATTTAAAATATTTTGATATTGATGACAATACGAAAAAGCTTAGGACATTGCACAGTGTCACCAATTAGTGAGGATATTGGACAAAAATCATCAACCATTAGTTATTTTCTAATAAACATTTTCATTAATTGATTTCAACTGAAAACAAGGTATCAGTAGTATAATAATGTATACTATATATCTATAATAATATTAATTGTAATATCAATTGAAAAAAATTCAGGAATTGATAATATCAGTAATGAAATATTATATACAATAAAAATTGACAAATAGTTGAACACATCAGCCTACTATATGAATGAGATTCCGGGTTGAACGGCGTCCAGAGTTTATAGTTTTTCGACGTTTCTGCTTGTCTGGAAAGTATCCCACTTAAAAACCGATTTTTTTTTATTTTTCAACATAGTCTCGTGTCAACTCTACACACTTCTCTCAGCGATGCTCCCATCTCTGTACCCGTCCAATTAGTACTCGGCGTTTTTCTCTGCATAAAAATTGTTTACGAAAGTGATTGCTTCTTTATTTGACGAAAGTCTCTTTCCTCCGAGTGGAATTTTTAGATGAAGGAACCAAAAAGAAGTCGCTTAAGGCTAAATCTGGTGAGTAAGGCGGATGATCGAGCAGTTTAAACCGTAAATCGTGAATATTACTGGAGTTTTATACCAAAACCCCTACACGAGTTTCAATCACCAAGTGGTCATCTTCAAGAGGGAAATTAAACAGTTTCATGAACGAAACGTCGCATTGGCTTGAATCAAAATATGAAAAACGTGACTATATTTTTTTAAATTATTCGAAATTGAGGCTTTTTAGTTTTTTTAGTTTTTTGCTTATACATTGGAAACGGTTGTTGATTCTATCGATCTGAAAATACCATTATATTGGATTCCTGAAACGGCAACTTTTGTTCCAATCAACTGTCCTTGTAGGACATACCGTTATATAGGCGAAACCCCCTCATCCTTGCCTATCATGTGAACCTCAGGTTTTGTAGGCACGTTTGATAGATAACCAACGAGAAAACAGCTAACCCAGCTGATGCCATGCAGAAAGCTGAAGTAAAACTATCACATACCTGTGTAGCGTCTTCCATTTGGAAAATTCATCGCAAGTAATTTCTTATACAGTGTGTAAAAGCCAAATAGAACAGATTCATTATTTTGGTTACAGTACATATTTCAACAAGATCACGAGAAACGTCAAATTTAAATTATAATTTGACATACTTCAACGAAAAAAACCTACTGATGACAACCCTGGCAATGAAAACGGACGTTTTGAGTGGACGCATGAGCTAAGAGACAGCCTTATGCATTGCTACGAGAGTAGTGAGCCTGCGCGAAGGATGTACATGGCCAGATTTCATGTTCTGTGGTGTGAAACACATCCGGAGCATGCCGCCTTTTTCGACCAAAATCTTAGGGATTGCGTATCTTATCTTCGGCGCCAGGGCTATTTAGCTCCTTCCCAGCCTGCTAACAAAGTGGTAGAAGTGACAGTTCTACCACCCGTTAGTACGGCTGAAGAGGAGACTCGCACCATATCGCCAATGGAGACGACAATCAGAACACGCAGGGCGCTCCACAGAATTAGGCCCCTGAAGCCACAAGAACTGTCTTGCTTGGATGCGGAGGTTCATAGTGTTCTAACAGGAGAGGCTGACATCTGGCAAATCAACACCGCCGTGTATAGCGTCGTCCAATCGGTTTCCGAATCGGAAGGACGAAATCCCGGCCTTGCGGTTCGGAAGATTGAACGGCGTGTACACAAGATGGAGGCTAAGATGACGTCGGCGAGACAACACACGTCTCGTATCCAATGTCTGATGGATTACAGGGCAGCCAACAGACCTATCACGCCCGCAGTCCGGCGAATAGCCGCCAAACTACGACGTATCCATCACAATTTGAGTCAAGGCGTGCTGCTGACCACCAAACAGCACTGCCTTGATATGATACGAATGCTAGTGACTGCTAAGAAGTCACCAGTGAGGCAAGCGAGAAGTATCGCGGAAAACCGTAGGTTCCGCGAGAAACCTTCTCGCTTATTCCAAGAGCCTCCACGTGTTGTGAATAATCCGCCAACCGCTGATCAGGTGGAATCCTTCTGGAAGGATATCTATGAACACCCGCAGCCACTCAACTCAGACACTCCAGCCTTAGCGCAGTTCGATGCTTTCAACAGAGAGCTTCGACAGCCTGAGCTCAATTAACTGCGCAACACGATAACCCCGGATGACGTTCGAAGAGCCCTTGTGGGTTCCAAGAACTTTGCTGCTCCAGGCCCAGATGGGCTGAACACTACCAAACACCAACCGCCATCTGGCCATAGGAGATTTGTCGAATCCTAAGAATTACAGGCCGATAACATGCTTGAATTCGTGTTATAAGTTGTTCACAAGCATCTTATATACACGAATACTCATCGCAGTTGACCGAGTGTTCGAACGGATATATAAGCAGAGAGGGTCGAAGAGAGGAGTAGCTGGATGTGTGTGTAACGCAGGACTGGATACAATATAAGCGTAACCTCTCTATGGCCTGGATCGATTACCGTAAGGCATTTGATACAATTTCGCATGAGCTCATCTTGCATTTGCTCAGATGCCTTGCAGTACTCGACAAAATAGTGGGATGCATTGAACAACTGATACCACTTTGACGAACTCGCTTCACCATAACATCTGGTCAAGCAAGAGTCCAAACAGGGTGGGCCATTTTCAGAAGGGGTGTATTTCAGGGTGATTCCCTCAGTTCCCTCCTCTTTTGCATCTTACTATTGCCATTATCGGTTGCGCTCAGAAACACTTGAGGGTGTAACTGTGGCACCCCCGGAAACCGGAGGCACAAGGTCACCCATTTGTTTCATATAGATGATATTAAACTTTATGCCTCTGGAAAGAAGGATCTCCATCAGTCCTTGAGGGTGGTGGAAGGGTACACGCATGCTATCGGTATGAAATTCGGGATAGACAAATGTGCAATGGTTCATCTCAAAAGAGGACGATGCGGGGACTACGGAGAGGATGTGCAGCTCGTAGATGGAAGCATCCTACACCATCTGGATGCCGGAGA